CTGCTGAACATTCCTCTTGCTATTAAATCAAACAATCTAAAATAACAATTTAACACATATTGCTAGGTTTCACAGTCACAAAGCAAAATTTTACATGTGCAGTAACTTACCAGAGATTCGATAGCTGAGAACTGTTCATTTAAAATAAAAAGTAGCAGCCCAAAATTTAGCCCAAATAGGACAAAGTAACAAATCGCATATCTCACAAATGATTTAAGAACTCAGAGAAGCCTATTTGCTTTTGTTTATGGAAACCTTTTAGAGGTTTTTATAAATCTAAAATTAGTAACTAGAAGCTTAGTACGGCATCTCAGTATTTCCACCAGTTCTTTGAAAAGAATCCAACAAAGTTAACAGTTTGGTCACTTGGAAAAAAAAAAAAAAAGTGTCCTTCTTTACTGGTACAGAAACAGAGAGGCTATGGCAAGACCGCACAGGTTAGGAAGCTACAGCACACCAGCTGCTTTGCAGCAGTGATGCAGGTCCATGTTTCAGCCTTGCTGAAGATGTGAAGTGTAGCTGCACACATCCGGGCAATTGCCAAAGTAAGGTAAAGGCTATAAATTAATCTGTTTGCCCATTTGTGTGCTCAAGCTGTTGAAGACAGGGAATGATACCACAATACAACATACAGATGAGGAAGTTCTTAACATCCTTAATCACCGAGCATTCAAAAAAATAAGTCTAATAGTATGCTATTCATTATATTTAAGTTTTGACACTTCATAATCACCAAAACCCAGCACTAACTTCTTTCCTAAAAAAGGTATTAAGATACAAGGTTTTGAGATTACATGATAGCAACAAAAACTGTTATTAATGCCTAGAGAATGTGCAGTGAATGATGGACACTGAACATGTAACTGAAACACAGAGACAGACACAAAACATTGTGTGGAGCACATCTGAAGGGTGGAGTTAGATCTGCTGCATTTTCATATGATGCAAAGATTTACAGCATGTTTCATGAAACAGTATTCAAAAACTATCACTAGAACACTATTGTAAAGTACATATAAAGCAACTGATATGCACAGCTGTTTCCCAGAAAGAAGAGAATGTTACTCCTGTTTATATAAAACCCATTCTCTTCCAAGAGTATGCAGTAAATTAGAAAAAGTAATCAATGTTACAAAAAAAAAAAATCTGTAGATTACTTTTCAGTAGAGCTTTAATCTTGGCCTCCGATATGCAAAAATTAAGAAAGAGATTTGCATTATGTGGCTACAATCAAGAAATTTTAATTGCAGTCATTATACCTGCAGGGCTATATTCTGTTTCCTTGTATTACTTAGAACAGGAAATTAACAGTAATAATTTCATTAGCTCCTCTAGTAAGTTTTAAAAGAAAGAGGGGCTTTGAAGAATAATTGTTCAGAGCAATAAGCTAAATTTACATAGAAGCAAGACTTAAAAAGTTAAGAGTTTATATGTATACAGTCAAAATAAGAAAACAGACTGCAAGTATTTCTGAGTAGCGGAAAAATACTCATAAAGCAGTTATGCAGAAATAATGTTAAAGAATTCCAGGTCAAAGTATGTTTTGGGTAGAATTCAAACTCTACAGGCAATTTTAGGACAAAAATGCTGCTGAACTGGAGATTGCTAGTAAACTCTGGATACACAAGTTTTGAACTGACGTTAAAGTCCTCCTAGACACTGGAACAGCAGTCCCATTTCAGTGCATCCACTCACATTTATGAACACAAACCTACCCATATATTCTAGTTTTTAATTCCATACCCTTTCAACTTTCTTTTTTTGTCCCTCTCAGACTAAATCTACTTCAATACAACATCTGCTGCATATTCAGCACATTTCACAGCAGTATGAGACTGTATTTGGACTTTCCAAAAGTGAAGATCTTCCTTCAATTTTAATTTCACTATCCTTCTTCCTTTTTTTTTTATGTAGACAAATTAACCTCCTCTAAGAAAATAATCACTGCTAATTGTACTCTGGGATATCCGTGTTACAAGCAGAATGTTTGAAGGGATAGCCAACAAAAACACTGTGTCAAGATGAAACCTGTTCTGCTCATCCTACTCTCAGTTCCCCTCCTCCTAGTTTCTAATACTGGACGTTTCCTCAGTGTACCTTACACTAAGACACTGAAAACGAGCGGACAATGCCTAGCTGCTGACTTTTTTTGGTGTAGTTCCCCTCCCCATCAAAACACGACCTTTTTAATGGAAGTACATTGCCATATTCTTATCACTACAGTTTACATTCTCTCCATATGAAAGATTCTGAAGGCATTAATTCTTTTGTAACTAACATTTCAGTTCCTGTCCTAGTTTTTTTTTTTTCTTCCTTCACAATTATATCATTCTTATTCCTCAAATTAGCTATAGTATTTTACCTAACTACTTAGTCTATATCTAAAGCACTCCTGTATGCAGAAAGTGGAATAATCTATTATCATTCAAGAAGGAATTATTTAACCCTCTACTCAGTATTATTGATGAAACTGACTTGCTAAGAACCCTTTAGATCTTTTTTTGAAACATATTTAAGCATAACAACCTACAGGATCTGCTAAATTGGAAGATTTTACCAGTTCTTCTATTTTCAGCTTCTACCAAGTCATCAGATCAATTTTTCATGTTGGAAGATGACATTAACTACCATAAGAACCTCTGGCTGTTTTTCTGAAATCTTAATTCATCCCAGGCAACTGCTGGCCTAAAGATAAATTTATTCAGGAGGTTATGGTGTTGGTATAGCTCCAAGTAGTCTCATCTTGAATACACCAAGACTTATTAATCCTGTTTCGGAGATGGTTCTAAACTTACTCCAGCAGGTGCATTTGAGTGCACAAACTGTACTCCATATCACTCCACAGTACTTCCTAGCTAGGTTTCAAGGTGCTCTGAACACACGGAAGTACCCAAGAGAATGGAATTAAGAGAAGCTGGTGAGCCCGAGAGAGGCCCTGTGGTAATGTGTCAGTCTGTACAGTAGCACTCGGGGGAGTTCCCATCATCAAGCTATGCCACTGTGTCAGGTGGCAAGAAACCAATTATCTACCATTCCCTTCTACTGGGAGGGAGCCTGAAGAACTGGTTAGTACACAGACTGCAGCTGACTACTCCCTCTCCTATTGTTTGGCCTGCATCACTCACATTCCTCCATTACATGCACAGAAGTAACTTTTCAGGGACTTTTCCAATAATGGTTTTGGCTTTTGAAACAGCAGACATTTAGGCTTCACTGACTATTTTTAGTAGATCTCCTCTGACTGTAACTGGAACTTAGAACCCCAGATGTAGACATCCATGATCTACTTGCCATGCATTAACATTTTAGATCCCATAGTCTGCCACTTCAGTGGCATGTGTCTCCTTCACACCCTGTGTCATGCCCAGCAGCCCTGTGCAAATGTCCTACAGCCTCTTAAGTGGTGGGAGGCACTCGTGTTTAGGCAACTGATGCCTATTCTTCTAATTAGGCAAGATGGAATCCACTCCAAGTTTGTGTTTTATATGAAGCTAACACTGATTTGCTTTAAAAAGCAATTTATCAGACTCAGACTTTTTTCAAGAATGTCTGTCACTATTTCAAAACATATACACAAAAATCTAAATTAGGTGTTAGTGGACTAAACCTGGTAAACAGAAGAAAATACTGTACATTTTGTGCACAGTATAAACCACAATTCAGCAAGTAAGAGAACATTACTTGCAAGCTAACTGTATCATTGTACTCATACACTTCTCACCTCTCCACTTCTAAAGAGAGTTACCTCAAGCCACTGATTTTAATAGATCCTGATTTTAAAGTGTCAGTGGTCAAGATGTGCATGGTCAAAAGTTTTTCTGTTTTCTGTCAGAAATGTATTCCTTTCTGTATCTTTTAGTTTTCATGCCACTTTTTCATTTTGCCTGGTTGGTGAATGTTACTAGGGCTAACAAAAGTTGGTTCGAGAGCCAAAGACAGAAAGGAAAAACAATTACAGCAGAATTAATGCATTTGAGTCCCTTACTACCTAGAGAAAACAAAACAATTTACCCCCAAAGTGCTGATAAATTTGTCGTCGTCATTTCGAAGTTCAACACTATTTCTAGGAATAAAGAGAAATGCTCCCTTACAGTGCACTTCTGGTTACCACAACTCCCCTGAAAAACTCAAGTACAGTCACTAATCATTTCCTTCTGTTAGTGAATGCAAGTTCTGAGAGGTTCATGCCTAAGCATACACCTAATCAATTTTTATTTATGCCTTTTCAGATGCAAGGACTCATCTGAAATGCCACTAAAATACAGCTACTGAAGCTTCTCAATTTTAAGACTCACAACTGCATTAAAGGTATAAACGCTTGAAAAAAAAAAAAATCATAAACAAAACACAACTACAGTTTAGAGCCTGTTGATTGGAAAGGATATAGGAGGGCCACAGTTTCTATTAAAGCACAAGTATTTAGCATCTATACCTAAGCATTAAATGTACTCTTTTTACAGTCTTTTTGAGCATTCTAAAATACCTGAGAATCAAATTTATATTAAATTGAGCAAACATTACATACCTCAACAGCTGGAACAATATCTATGCCAACCGTCAGAAATTCTTCAAACTTCAGAAATGGATTAAAGCAGCTTCCAACATCAAGTAATCTGATCTTCCCCAAGGAGTGGAGCAATCTAAGAAGAAAGAATTCATTTTTTTCAAATGTTATTTTTGAAGCTATATTCTGAATTACAGCTTCAGATAACTAACACAAAAAAAGTTAACATAGAACACCAGTGTAGGGACTAACAGAAGCAAATGCTTTACCTGAATTGCTGAGATACCAAGAGAACCAAGGTCCACCAACAAAGCAGATGGTCCTCAAGCAGAAGAGTCACATTCAGAGCAGCTGTAATAGTATTAACTAGTGTACTTGTAGGAAGAAACTAAAATGGCAGCTTGTGTGTCTGCTAGACAGGCTTCCTCTATTGCTTTGTGTCTCCCACTTATCTTTTTGTGCTATTTATTGGCATTTAAGTCATGCAAGTTAACAGAATTAAAATTTCAGGAGTTTAAAAGAGAAACTGTCAACAGTCTATGACATACCTACTTGTTAGTTCAATCTTAAAGGGCATCTGAAGTCAAGTGCCATATTTGGTTTAATGAAGGAAAGAGAAGACAATGGTATTCCAAGGAAAACAAACAAAAAAAAAAAAAAAAATAAAATGGAAGCATTTAGTTATTCCCTGCAAAAATTTTAAAGTATTTTAATTGCTTTGTTAGCTCATTTATTTTTTTAGATAGTTGACTGCTAGAGGTTCACTCCAATTCTATTTTCAGTGAATGCTGTGAAAGTGTTAGCTCAGTCTACGCAGAGCCAGAAACTTAACAACTGACTGATCATGTTATAGGGAAGTTACTCTAAATATCTAAATGAACTAAAGTATTCCCTCAAAACTACTAGGGGGAAAAAGGTCTATTCCACACCATGCAATCGATTTCCTTTAGGAGTATCCACAAGCTTTTTAATGAGACATAGTGAAAAATAGACATATGTTTTAGGAAAGAGTCCTCAGAATAATTCTGATGTATTCAAAAACGAGATTTATCCCATAAGAATTCTAGAGAATAATTTAGTAAGCCATAAAGCCTATCTCCCTGTCTGCCACTGTGTGATGAATTTACTCTTCAAAGTGAAATTACAGATAAGAAGGCCAATGACTGTAATGCTAAATACTTAACTACGCTGACAAACAACAAAAGGTGAATGATAGGAAGGGAAAAAAAAAACCAAACCAACCAAAAACCAAAACACTACAACAAGGAAAAGGGAGGGTTTCCTCAATAACTTGAGAAATCACGACTTGCTGCTTGGACTGATAGAAAGAAGTTGACAGACTGCTGAGGACACTTTAAAACCTTAGCTCCAGAATGTCATGGAAAATTGGAAAAAAAAAAAAAAATATGCGCCACACAGTTCCATAGTGATCGGTAAGACCTTGGAATACCCGAAATCCATTAATAGAGGCAAACAAACTCGAACTCCCAGCTTTCACAGGGAATTCTCAGGGAGGAGAATGGTAACTTTCCAGCAAGCAAATGTGTGGTTTTTTTGTTCCCCCCCACAGACGCCCCCCCCTTCAAGTTTTTGTAGCCAACTCCAACTGGCATCTCCAAAATATCACTTGTCATCTTTCTGGAAAAGACTCAGCCCTAGAGAGACAGATAACTGCAAAACCTTTCAGAAATAGATCTTCAGGGCCAATGGAGTGCAGCAAAGCCACGGCTGTACTCATAGCAACAAAAAAGCAGGACAGAATACTGCAGAAAAAAAAAAAATCTTTAAGCAGCAATGAAGAGATCTGGGCTCTGTGCTACTCCTTAACCCCCAGTCATCTGCCACAGAGAGGATGCTGGTGAAACAAGAGAATATTCCTTGCTGTATTCAGTAGAATAATCATGCCAAGTTTAAGGATTTTTCTTCTACATGGAATATAAGATATCCAGGCGATACTTCTGTCAAAATACCAGCATCATCATGGCAAATATATTGTGCAACAATTATCTTTAAGTTAAAGCCACACACATCACTAACCTGCTCTCTAAGATAGCCAGTACTGAGTGACATTTCAGAATGAACATGATAGCAACAATTTTTTTTTCCCAGTTTGGATGTCAATCACAATGTAATCCATACAACAGGAATTTCAATACTGCAGAGGGACCATCCAGACCCTAGTGGCTGTAAACCAAAACAGTGAAAACAGCACCTGAGAGGAATTGATACCAAAAAGGCTGTGATTTTTACCATTAAGGTTAAAAAAAAAAAAAAAAAGAAAAAAAGAAAAAGGACTGCTTAATTTGATGGAAAGAGAAAAGAAACAACACTTAAAGCACAGACATGGGCTGAAGTCAGGTAGTGTCATTTTCCATGTAAGGCTACTATGAGGTTTCTCAGACCAGCACATCTCCTCATCTAGAAAGTGAAGACACTAATGGTAGATTGTGTCTCAAGGACAAAAGGTTTATGTCTGGATGTATGCTTGTGCTCCACAAGGAGTCCAATGGTAGCAGCAAATCAATAGAAGACACGTGAGGTCACAGTAAACACAACAAGAGGGAATATGAATCTACAGAGCAGGGAAAACTTCCCATAAAGAAGACCAACATTTTCCATTTAAAATATTCAGTGAAATACTTGTACAGAGTAAAATTAAGCAGCTCAACCCAGAACCCTCTAATCTGCAGAAGAGCCCACTTCAGCTACAGCAGAGTGAAAAATCACTGTGATGTGTTCCATCTTCCTCTTACAAAACCTACATTCTTTACAACAGCATTATTTTTGAGTGGGTTAATGGGGACACTATTTCACACTACTACAGCATTTGGGCAAATTTCTGAAAAGCTACAACTACATTTCAAGCTGAGCAGAAGCCAGAAACTCTCCTACACTAATGGACAACAGACCTGAAGCATCTGATACAGAGCAAATTCACTGTGACAGGTGTGTCACATCCAAGGAGCCTTGCAGTCTAAGTTCAATGCAAATGTACTTTGAAACCTTAAAAGTAGCAGAGACGCAGATGCTCACTTGTGTCCTGACTTCCTGTTGCTTGTCAGGTTTTGGTGCCTCTAAGAACACAGATGCAACGAATCCCTTGATAGCAATTCTCAGGTTGCCAGTTATCAGTAGGAACAGGATCCTAGTTAGATGCTTGATGTCATTTTGAAGCTCTTCAGAAGCACTATTCTGTCACTGAACATACACAGAGAGTGCAGACCACTGATTCAGACGTTTCTGAAGACCATTGGTTCAGATAACAGTTACAGTACTGAAAAAGTAGGTAAGTCAGATTCCTCAATGAGAATGTAACTGTAATCTAGGTGATGATCATTGACGCAGTGAGGCAATGACTTTGTTAGAAATATAGTCTTGCTGAATTAATTGATAATCACCCTTCAAACCCCTGTTTCCCAATGATTTTCAGTCAAGGCAACATTAAAAGCACGGGAAGTACTTTGCCACTGGAGGTCATCTCCAAGCACATTCTGAATCCACAGTTCTCACATGCATTAGTGCACAGGAAAATAACCAAAATGGGAGTAGTTAAAGAACAGGAATTGGTGAAGAAGTTACATGACCTGGGAAATTAGTGCATTTTAAATATATCCCTCACTTTTTTATTTCAAGAACTTTATTTAATGGAATGCAGCTCTTAATAAGTAGCCCCCTTAAAAATGCACCTATTAGTCAATGAGGTGCTGTGCAGATAAGTGACATTTTCTCTTGGAAGTACATTGAAATAGAGCAGTTATATGACCAAAAGGAAAGTCATTTTATCTCTGAAACTCATCACTTCACATGCTGATCTTCTAAGAATTTACAGTTTTAAATTACTCTTATTTATCAAGGATGGAAGGGGGAAAAAAAAATTCAGAAGCCTTATGCTGCTGTCAGAAGAGCAGAACAAAGCTATAGATCTGGTTCTGAGTATTAACACTGAGATGCTTCAAACCTTTTGTAACATCCACGCATAAAGACATCCAATGGGAAAGTCTAGCCTGCTGAGATACATAGGTAAGAATGATAGGGTGTACCTTAAGAGACTGTCAAACCAGCACCTGAGAAGAATACATACCAAAAAGGCTGAAATTTTTACCATTAAGGATAAAAAGCAAGACTGCTTAATTTGATGGAAAAAAGGGAAACAACACTGAAAAGAAGAAGAAAGAGGGGACTCATTTATTGAAGGGAGGAGCTGTTAAACAGCAGATAACAGCCACTTTTATCTTGGAAGACTGAGCCACTTTGATGTTCAGCTTCACAACTGGAGCAGTTGTAATGTTAGAGATGTAAGAACTTATTCTTGAATGGAAGGAAGTACAGTGTACATTATGTTTTATACAGATGAAAGTAAAAAAGGACTGACTGTTCACATTATTTATTCCTATAAGACTTACCAATATTAATCTGGCAAAGGTGTGAGCAACAGGAAATGGGTCCATCAAAGTAGCTGAGTAGCCCTCTGAGATGCAGTAAACTTTGCACTTCCAATTCCAACAATGTTTCCAGCCATCACCTTTAAGAGCTGGCCGAGTGTTTCCTACTTCTCTCTACACCTTCCAGTGTCTTTTTTACTACCAGTGGAACTTTTTATCCTTGAGCTAGCTTTGCTAGCAAAGTATGGTCTTTCTACAACAGCTTGATACTAAAAATAAGCCAGAAAGAGCTCCTACGTAAGTAAGCTGTTTTTAATACTACTTGAAAGAGGATTATATATGGGAAGAACAAAATAATTGTCTTTACACTTACTAGAGTGAAACAAGGAGTTACAGACTTAGCCATACTTACAGAGTGCTCCACAACTCTTACTTATAGCATTACATGACCAGAATGGAGTGACCACACTTGAACAAGTGTGTGTGTGTGTGCGCACACGCGTGCGTGCAAGTTCCCCCACACCTCTTGCAGAGAGACCCCACTGAGATTCAGACTTCGCTAATCCACCAGTGTAGACATGGTACAAAAGCACTGCAGGGGGAAAGTAAGCTTTGTACAATACACAATCCATTTTCATTCTGCTAAACTCTGTAATTCTTCTATAAAGCACAGAGAAGAAATTGAAATTTTATTTCTCTGGGCAGTAACTTAAAACAGCTATGCTTTGTTGCTTTGAAGTCTGTACAGCAACTAAACATCTTACTATCATCTGTTGCTTACTCATGTACATATTAAGAATCTTGACTTTGCCAGGTACATCTTTATGGATGAATGTATTTTTAAAGTTTTGAGAATGAAGATAAAAAAATCACTTACTATATAACAAATACTTAAAAAATTATTTAGCAAAAAGTTCTCTATTAACTACATTCTATGCACACTAGTCAGAACAACAGGTAAGGCTATGAACTACCGGTAGCAAGAAGGAACTCGTGAAGTTAGCTCTGCAATGGCCATTATAAACTGTGCAAAGTATGAAGATAAAGAGAGCAAATAGAGAGCAAGTGCTTTGTCATGACAAGGCCTCCCACTAGAAGACAAATCAACTTTGTGTATGATCATCAAATCTACTGATATCAATAAACCAGTAACAACAAACTGCTATTTGTAGTAATGCTAAATTATGGCCTTAACAAATGCCAGCAGTAGTGAGATGTTATAAGGTATTAGTATCCCACCAGCCCTTTGTGCCAAAGTGCCTGGCAGTTCTCATTAAAACCAGGTATTTGTTTTGAGGCAGACTTAGCAAAATGAGCACTGACAGGGGGAGTCAGTGGGGGCAGGCAACTTATGAGAAGCCACTACCTTCAATTTGGAACGATGTGTTTTGTCACAACACGACAATAACAGGGAAAATGATTTTGCACATAACTATTCAACTACATAAGCATCTGGAACCTTTACATCTTTTGCAAGTTACTTTACCAACAGGAGAAACTACAAAACCAGCTCATAAGGACAGGCACCTGCTAATAAAATGAGTAACACACTGGTTCCTTTCCTAACACTATAACTTAAAGTGCAAATCACGGAAGGCATACTACAATAATGAGAAAAATCACTTCACAGAACAGAAAAAAAACTCTGCTGCAGACAGCTGTAAGAACTGGTCTATAAAGAATATGAAGTGAGTCATAAGTGCGACATCTAATGATAATATGCTTAGGCATTCATTATTCCATTACAGTTACAAAATATTAAATTCCTTCCATCACACATAGAATAGCCACAAACATGACCCATGTTATTTAGGAAGAAAAGGAGGGTGGGACTGTAACTGAAATAACAATGCTGCTCCTGAATGCCAGAAATAAAATTCTTACTTGATTGAAGGTCAAAAACAAAATTAAAACTGTTGTTAGGAAAATACCTCAAGGATACTACAACTTCTGCAGAACCCGTCATCTGAAAGCTCACACATTTAAAATTAAGGGTTATAATTCAAAATTGCTTTTGAAGTGTATAATTGGAATCAAGAGTTTCTCTGCAATTATTTTTGAAGAGAAAGTTTTAAGTACTCTGATATTTACATTTGGCACTTAGTACTTACATAAGCAATTGACTTTTCAACAGTGCTGAACAGCCATTAGATTCTAACTTAATTAACGTGTCTCTTATTTCACCTCATGGTTTAATATAAATTGCATTACACAACAATGACATAGAGAAGTGAAAGTGCTCTAACACTTAAATGAAGATGACTGAGTTGTCATTCTCAAGAAATTTTTTAATGGCATCCATCAAAATATAGTACAACATAAATATTTCTTGAAACACATATATTCACATGAAAATACCCTTTCCTAGCTATTAAAAATACATCTGAGTGATCTAACATGTTGTTGGGAAAAAAAATGTCCAGGTAAGTCTTATCACATAAAGAGGTGGGGAAAAGAAGTGGGGAAAACAAAACTTACTCTTCTGTTATAGCTTCATGATTTGTCAAGCCAAAGTTTTGCAAGGGATCTTCAACCTTGGGAGCCTGGGGTACATTTAAAGCTGGAACAGTCTTAGAAGCAAGAAGTGCTCTTTTTTCATCTTTCTCAAGTGCTTTTCTTTTCCCGCCATTCTGAAAATATTCTCGGCATACACTGAAAAGACAAAAAGCACAATTCCCCAGAAAAGCAGAATGCTATTTTTGGTCATTAGTACAGATAAGACAATACAGAAGTTTAAGAAATACAAGTGCTTTCACCCTTCTAACAAATCTGGGGTTTACTACAATTTTAATAAATCAGCTTTAGGAAATACCCAATACACCCAAAAACAAGTGGTATTTTATTTCCAAAAGTTCATTCACAAGTCACAATTGAGTAAACAAATTCAAAATAGTTTTATCTAGATAGACTAAAGAGCAAGACAGCAGAAGTTTTGTCAGAACATCATCAGAGGGTGAACTTCAGCTGTCACTTGAGCACCACAGTTCTCCACCAAGACGCAAAGAGTTAACTAGCTCACCATAAATGCAGGGGCTTTTGAAATCTGTGTCTTGCAAGGCACATAATGTGGAGAAAAGAAACATAATTCAGGCTTATAGGCTAACACATACACTGTTTTTTAAATTTAATTGAGTGTGCCTGGGGTGGTTTTAGTTTCTAAGTAAGAGATATCTGTGGTAGCTATGTTATTGTGGGAGATTTATTTCAGCATTCAATTTTTCCCACGTAATTATTTTGCCAGTAGGAACCTGAACAAAACAAACTGGTCATATTTCAACAGAAATTTTAACCACTTTAAAGGAATGGATGCTATCAAAAAAGTTAAACTCTACCTCCATACTTAAACCAGTAGTTAACATTAGTGTACAAGAAGCAAAGATTATGTTCGAGAATAACTAAATTTTGTCAACAAACTAGAACTAGAATTGGAAACAATTTGTTGCTGTGAAATTAAAAAGCCTGACTCACCCTGCACAAGGCAGTATTTTTAACTAGATGTGCCAGCCAAGTATTTGCACGGAAAGGTTAACAGAAATAGTACTTGTTTGAATGATGTTTTCATAACAGCCGATTTTTATGATGCTTTCTCGAAATTCATTCCATTTTCTTCTAACAAAGCTGCAGAATTTAAGTAAATGTTCAAGAAAACAAATTCAAGTGGAGTTTAATAACACCTTATACAAAGCAGGATAAAACGTGGTATTTCACCTCACAGGTTCAGCAAAGGACATGGTATAATACTGTATCACAAATAGAGACAAGGACTTGGAATACACAGGCCTTATCTATAGGTTGGTGATACTACAGGCACCAAATATATCCAGCCTCTCAAACACATAAGATGCAAAGAATTAAAAAAACCCAAAAACCTCAGTGGGTTTCTTAAAGGGAAACATACACAATCAAAAAAGTACAGACAGAAGTCACTGTACTCCAAGATGTTAGGAAATGACCACCTCGAGTCAGTAAATGAATAATTACAGTAGCACATTATTTCCACGTTACTAACTCTTGCCATGAAGGGGAAAAAAGTAGGTTATCCTAGACACAGTTCTGTGCTGATGTGCTCAGAGGACCTCAAGAACTGACCTGTGTCTAAAACTCAAAGCACAAGCAAGTCTTACTTGCTGAAGCAGGCCCCAGGCATTCTTGCACTAAATATAAAAAGTCAAAAACGCAGACAGTAACCTTAGAGCAGAAAACTCAGCTATATGAGAAACAAACTCAGTAAACACATGTATAATCAACAAGCTAATAGTTACAGTTCCTCAGTAACCAAAACCATTTGCAGACCAAACAAGCTGGGTGGAATAAAGAAATAAAATATACATCTTAACAGTATGGATCAAGATCCCATGGAGAAGCATGAATAGCTGTCTAGAGTGCGAAACCATATAAACTCCACCCATTAGAGACTGCATGTATGGAAAGACAACAATTCTAAAATTAACAGAGTTCAAGTAGGAGTCATTTAACTTGAAGAGATTAAAAACATCATTAAACGAACTCTAGAAAAACACTGGAATTATTGCTGATATGCTAATAGAAGTATTTCACACTATATAGTATTATTTATTTATAAGCACATGTTTAGAACAATTTAGTTCTGTGTCATGCAGTCAAAGAGATGAAACTCAAAAAAAGTTGTACAGGAGAACCATCTCCTTGTAAAGCATAGTGTAAGTTCCTCTTTTCACTGAAAAGCCATTTCTTCCTCAGCCTTGGTGCTGGTGCATATCAGTATTTCTTACATACTTCTTTCCCCATCTATCATGTCAACTGAGTTCTCATAACGCTATCTTCTTCTTAACTGACCTTCCTTGTCTGCACCATAAGACACTATGAAAGTCAACCGTGAGGAGAAGCATCTTCTACTCCTGGGTTTTCACTGGTGGACAGAGAGGCCAGAGCCAAACAAAGGCACAGGACTGTGTAAAATTCTTCACACTCAGATGCCAGTCTACATACCTATGTAGTACTGCAAGGAAGTAAAAAAAGCCAAAACAAACAAAAAACCCGTAAAACACACAAAACAACTAAATCCTCCCATCCAAACAAAAACCCCAGGAAACACTGCATTTCATAACCACTGAGGGTTTTCTCCATTTTACACCTTTATGGAGTTAGGAGGATTCTGGCAGGATTACTACACGCTGTCCCTCTGGATTCCGAGGCCTCAGAGGAGCCGTCCGTGTACCCCTCTGCTGGGAGCAGACCTCACACCCACCCTGGAGTAAGAGCGAGCACACGGGCAGTCACTGCACAGCACCTAACCAGAGGGAACACACTCTAGTTCAACCCCAGGGTAACTTGTTGCTGCAGGCACACGTTTAACTTCATGGCCATTCAAATCCACCACCGATCCCCTGTGGTTTTGAGTACGCAGTTATGCAAGACATTTAACAACTGTCTCAAGCAATAAGCACAGCATCACTTAATTATCTACAAAGAAAAATAAAATTAAGGAATCCATTTCATAATCCTGAGAACAGACATGGTTCCATTTTAAACTGACATTTAAGCATTCAGTCTTTGATGATACAATATTAGCTCTACAATTAACATACTTGTTTGTGAAGAACTCTGCAATGTAAATGCTACCTAACACTTGCTGCAGTTTACACAAACTGCAAAACAAACAATCCAGGTCTAAACTGTTTAAGTTTGCTGACAGAGAAACAGGTGAAGTATCCAGTTCATGCCTAAACTTTTTATAAAGAAAAAAAAAAATTAAAAAAAATCACCTATTTGTTTCTTCAGTGAAGCTAGTTTTCCTACTTCAGATCTCAAGAGGCAAACAACCTTTTCAGCTTCACCCCTCCCCAGCTCCACCATCTGGGCTGGATGCATACAGGAAGCTTCAGTAGAAGCCAATATGAATACATATTAATTTGCTAATACTCTCCAGCAATGAACCTCAAACTTCATTTTCGAATACAGTGACCGAAACCAAGGGTTTCAACAGAACATATAATGACCAAGAAAAGGAGGGGGAATTTGCCAAACACACACCACATGAAGTTTAAAAGCCATGAAAAACAGTAGTTAGTTCTTCCTGTCAAGTAATAACAAGCATCAAAATTAAATCTGGTGCAGTCAGCTTTTCTCATGCCAAAAGGCAGTTTCTGATAACTGTTATCAATGCTTGAGGGTTTCAAGCAGACAGTTTTACAGGCTAAGAACTGACACAGTCCATCTCTCTCCTTCTGCTTTAAAATCAGGAAGAGGGGAGCTCAACTTCCATTCCTTACAATATTTGTTAACCAAAGCCTAATATTGAAGAGGAAGTTCAGTGAGGGTACAGAGAAATAACATACTTTCCTTCAGAGTTGAAGGAAAGTCTGTACTTCTACGCATGGTTTCTCTGCAATATGTTTCTCCCCTCCTCCCACACACTGAGAAATAAGTTTATTAATGTCAACTGACAGAACTGCTGGCCTGAAAAAAAACAACATAAAACTCTACTACAGGTTTAACTCACCCACTCCCCAGCCTCCAAAGAAAATCAAGGAAGGGATAATTCTCAATTGCCCTTGTACACATTACTCATACCTGCAAAAAGAAAAGTTTCCTCTGGACTAGAAAATATTTTGTAATCATCAATGCACACCCAGCTTCAGGTGAAGGAAATCCTGTATTCAGCACAGGTGGGAGCACCAGGTTTCTCAGTGGAAAGTATTATGAAGTTTAACAAAATGTGATGATAAAAGTTTAAGTCAAGAAACCTGATTACAATACTTTTTTCCATTTTACAGTGAAGATTTGGTCTCAGTTCTGGGGTTTGGGACATTCTTCTTTTGACAAAGGCACTTAGGTCTGTAATTCAGGTGCTTCTCTGGGGTTGTGTCAACCCCTCCACCCTAAATCCACTTTTGGAGGCAACATCCTTCATTACCAGAGAATTCAAAAAACTTGAAATTAGCACCAGTTATATAATCACTGCTCTAGTTTGCGCTAGTGCTCAACAAACAGTTATGGTTTTGTCAATACAAGATTGTATTTAAGTGCAACAATTCATAGTCATACAAACATGAAAAATTAACACTGTCTTTTCTATTTTGAATGGTTTCCCTCCTCCCATTTACACTATTTCCCTCTTAACTCCATTCTCCTGAAAGTGAATCGCTCGAGTAGCTGCACTCCTCAAAAAAGCTGCAAGACAGTGCTGAAGGGACTTCAAACATTGATTCATTCAACCACACAAACCTCGATATTCTCAAGGATCTCATAAGATATTACTCAGCCTTCTCTTCTTTTGACTAGACAGCTCTGGTTTCTAGAAAAAAACCAAGCCTTTTGCGGAAAAAACTTAGAACACTTTTGATAATTTATCTTTCTTGGAGCTGAGATTTGTTATTTTTTTCAATGCAGTGGCCAAGGTGATATTTTGGCTAAAAGCAATGCTATTTAAACTCAGATGAGCACTTTACATATTTTATGAACAATCTCATTAACACAATCCAGCATGATGTTTGCCTTCATTGAAAAACCTCCCATGACTGTTTCATATTCAACTTATGTCCTGCTACAGAATCCAAATGGATTTCTAAAAAGACTGACACAACCAATTACTCCCTGACCTGTATCTGTAGAGTTGATAATATTTAGTATAGCTAACAAAACTGTTAGTTTTAATCCTGCTTTCAGAGTGA